TCTAAGTTTCTTTGGTGTCTTTTTATGGCTTGATAGCTCATTTTTAAAAAGTGGTGAATAATATTCCATTTCTGGATATATTACTGTTGAGTTATCCATTCACCCAGGGAAGGATATTATGATTGCTTACACGTTTTGGCAATTATTATTTTTTTAAGGATTTTATTTATTTACTTGAGAGAAAGGGAGAGTGAGAGAGAGAGTGAGCATGAGCAGGGGGAGAGGCAGAGGGAGAGGGAAAAGTAGACTCCCCACTGAGCAGGGAGCCCCATTTGCAGGGCTTGATTCCAGGACCCTGAGATCATGACCTGAGTTGAAGACAGACATTTAACCTACTAAGCCACCAGGTGCCTCATGTTTTGGCAATTATGAACCAAAGTACTATAAACATCCGTGTGCAGGTTTTTGTGTGGGCATAAGTTTTCAGCTCATTTGGGTGACTACCAAAGAGCACAACTATTCTTTTGTATGGTATGAATATGTTTAGTCTTGTAAGACTGTCAAACTGTTTTCCAAAGTGGCTGTAGCATTTTACATTCATATCAGCAATGAATGAGAGTTCCTGTTGCTTCACATTCTTGCCAGCATTTGGTATTGTCAGTATTTTGGATTTTGGTCATTCTAATAGGTGTGTAGTGGAATCTCGTTGTTTTAATTTGCAATTCCCTAATGATGAATGATATTGAACATCTTTTCATATGATTACTTGCATATATATGGTGTATCCTTCTCCATTCCTTTACTTCAACCTATATGTGTCTTTATATTTAAAGTGAATTTCTTGTAGATAGCATGTAGTTGGGTCTTTTTTTAAGATTTTATTTATTTATTTATTTATTTATTTATTTATTTGAGAGAGTGTGTGTGCATGAGTGGGGGGAGGGGCAGAGGGAGAAGCAGACACCTCACCTAGCAGGGAGCCAGATGCAGGGCTGGATCCCAGGACCCTGGGACCATGACCTGAGCCAAAGGCAGATGCTCAGCCAACTGAGCCGCCCAGGTGTCCCATTTGGGTCTTATTTTTTATCCCCTTTGACGATCTCCACCTTTTAATTGGTATATTTAGATCACTGATCTTTAAAGTGCAGTTGAACTAACATTTACCGTATTTGTTAATGTTTTCTGTTTCTTACTCTTTTTCTTGTTCCCATTTTTGTCTTTTATTCTTTTTATGCCTTGTTGGTTTTATTGGAGAATATTACATGATTTTGGTTTCTTAGCATTTCAGTTTTATGTCTTTTTACAAACATTTTAAAAGGATTTTTATTTTTTAAGTTATCTCCACACCTAATGTGGGGCTCAAACTCACAACCTCCAGATCAAGAGTCGCATGTTCTACCAAATGAGCCAGCCAGGCAGCCCTCAGTTATATTTTTTATATATTTTTAGTGGTTACCCTAGAGTTTGCAGTATACACTTACAACTAATCCAAGTCTACTTTCAAATAATGCCATACCACTTCAAAGGTAGTGTGAGTACCTTCTAATAAGATTTATTTTTTTAGCTGTTTTGTCCCACCTTTGCTTTTTAGTTTTAGAAGTTTCTATTGGGGCACCTGGGTGGCTTAGTCAGTTAAGTGTCCAACTCTTGATTTCAGCTCAGTTCATGATCTCAGGGTTTTGGGATCCAAGCCCCAAGCTAGCCCTTAGCCCCCAAGCTAGCTCCATGTTGAGCTGGAGCCTGCTTAAGATTCTCTCTCTCTCTCTCTCTCTCTCTACCCCACCACCCCCACTCTCCCTCTAAAAAGAAATATTTCTATTGAGATATCAAGATCAGAGATTCTTTCTTCAGCTGTGTCCAATCTTCTAATAAACCCATGAAAGGCATGTGTTACTTCTGCTACAATGTTTTTATCCTTAGCATTTTCTTTTGGCTCTTAGTTTTCATCTCTCTGCTTAACATTATCTGCCTGTTTTTGCATGTTGTCTACTTTGCCATTAGGCCCCTTATCATAATCATAGTTGTCATAGTTGCCTTAATCATAGTTGTTTTAGATTCCTGATCTGTTCAGTCCAACCTGCCTGCCATATCTGAGTCTGGTTCTGATGCTTACTCTGTCTTCATATTGTGGGGGTTTTATTTTGTTTTGTTTTTCCACTTGGTATGCCTTGTAATTTTCTGCTTAAAGCTGGACATGATGTATTGGTTAAAAGGATCTCTGGTAAATATGCCTTTAGAGGTGTGATGGCAAGGCATGGGGAAAGGGGAAGTATTCTGTGGAACTATGATTGGGTCTCAGGCTTTAAATGAGCCTATGCCTCTGGGCTGTGAAGTTCACAAGTGCTTATGTTTTATTTACCCTTAAGTGGTATAGGATGTCTAGAGTGGGCTGGAGTTGGGTTTTCCCCTTTCCCAGAGTTGGTTAGGTTCTGCTGACTCCAGTAGGTTAGGCATTGGTGAAATAGTTTATTTTGAGAGCAGGCCTTGTTAAGAACAGAATCCTCTGGTATGTTTCAAAATGGTTACTTTTTCTCTTCTCCTGATGGAAGTGTGAGGGATTTTCCTCAGATATTCACTGTGAGAACCTTCTAGAGCTTCTGGAGATAAAACTTACCAAAGTGTAGGGGTTCCCCTATGACTGGAACCCCTGGAGTTTTAAACACTTAGACGTGCCTACACTTGAGCCTCCAACAATTTGCCAGTTGTAGTACAGGTTTTCCTATGCTGGTACTGGTTCCCATGGAGGTTTCTGCTTATGGGTTCCTGCTCCTGTTTAACTAAAGATAAAAATTATCCAAATACCAAGAATATCCTTAGGAAAAGTGTATAGGATCATTGCAATTAGGCAGTAATTTTTCTGTTTTGTATGTCTGGAAGCAGAATGGCCTTCGGCAAATTTTTGAAACTAGCATGTGGCCTCATCTCCTCCCATGAGATGCCTTTTGGTCCAGTGGCCAAATACTCTTATGCTGTCATGTAGCTTTCTTAAAAGTTCTGCATGATCCCAAGCTCACCCATACTCTTTAGGAAGTCCTATCTGTGTCAAGTATTCATTTTTACTCATCTTCCTTCATGTTCAAAAGAAGCTAATTTCTATTGATGATAGCTAATACACTATTTCTCTTTTACTTCCTAAAAATGCAGTGACTTAAAGCAAAGTAAGGAATCCCTAAAGAGTCTTGGAGGTTGGTTTCCAGGGAGAATTTTTAAAAGCAAGGGACCTTTCTGGTGACCCAGAAAGTATTCCATATCAAATGATTATCTCCTCTCCAGGATGGCCTAATCTGCAAGATTTTACTCCTAATGAGGGACTGATGTTGAAGTCATCATGCTCATCTGCTGGCCAGTGGCATCCTCTCTTAATGGACTTTTCATTTTCATGGTTATTCCTTGAATTTTTTAAAAGATTTTATTTATTTATTCATGACACACACACACACACACACAGAGGCAGAGACACAGGCAGAGGGAGAAGCAAGCTCCACGCAGCGAGCCTGATGCAGGACTTGATCCCGGGTCTCCAGGATCAGGCCCTGTGCTGAAGGTGGTGCTAAACCACTGAGCCACCGGGGCTGCCCTTATTCCTTGAATAAAGGCTATTGATGAACTAGAGGGTTTTTATATATTCAAGGGTACTTCTTGTTATTCTTGTTATTCTTGTTATTCTATATATATATATATATTAGTAATTTCTACACCCAATGTGGGGCTCAAGCTCACGACCCTGAGATCAAGAGCCACATCCTCTTCTGACTGAGCCAGCCAGGTTGCCTGTGTCTTGTTATTTATTTATTTAAAAGATTTTATTTATTTGTTTGAGAGAGAGCATGAGTGAGAGAGAGACAGAGAGAGCATGAGCAGGGGGGAGGGAGAGGGAGAAGCAGACTTCCTGCTGAGCAGGGAGCCTGACATGGGGCTCTATCCTAAGACTGCACTTAACTGACTGAGCCACCCAGGTGCCCCTGTTATTCCTTAAATAGTAGTGAGTTATTTCCACCCTGAAATCCAATGAAACTTATTATGGCACTTATTTCATATTGTAGTGATTTGTGTATGTGTTTCTTTCCCACTGGTAAATGGGAGAAGTGACTTTGTGTTGTTTAGCTCAACTTCCTTCTAGCACTAAGCACAGTCTGAGTCCTGTATACATTTGTTTTTAAATAGCCTCCACCCCTAACATGGGCTTGAATTTATAAGTCCGGGATCAAGAGTCACATGCTCTACTGACTGGGCCAGCCAGGTACCCCTCCATACATTTTTTCACATATTTTTGATTGATGAAAAATAAAGATCAAATAATTAAGCACTCTATATTTCTGTTCATGCTGACATCACCTATTATTTTGACTTCATTTTACAAACCACAAAATGAAAATCAAAGGAGTAAGTGTTCTTTTTTCTACAAGCATGGATACAAGCAACATGAAAAAAGAAGGTTGCCTACCATGAGACACAGATACAGGATTTTTCTACCACTTGTATCACTTGTTAGATCTTTCAGTTGACCTAAAAATTTAAAGCTCTGGAAACAGTGTCAAAAATCTCATACCATACTATACCACTGACCTCTTAGAGGCAGGATAAAACTATACACAGCTAATCTTGAAGGAATCTCAGAAACTGACATACTGGGTTCTCAATGTTCAGAGATCTGTCTTCCCTTATATTTAAGAAGAATAAGATTTAAAATAGTTAATAATATCCATTAGCATAAACAGAAAAATGGTAGGTCTTGCCTTGGATTTTGATTTACTTTTGAATTTTCTAATAATTCAAATGATTTTCTGACCATTCAAGACTTAGTATTAGATAGTAAAAATACTCCATTTTCATAATTTTTTATTTATTTATTTTATTTTAAAATGTATTTACTTATTTTATTTATTTTAAAATTTATTTATTCATGAGAGGCACAGAGAGGCAGAGACACAGGCAGAGGGAGAAGCAGGCTCCTTGTGGGGAGCCCGATGTGGGACTTGATTCTGGGACTCTAGGACCACGTCCTGAGCCAAAGGCAGATGCTCAACCACTGAGTCACCCAAGCGTCCCTTATTTATTTTAAGAATATGGAATGTTTCACAAATTTGCATCTCATCCTTGTGCAGGGGCCATGCTAATCTTCTCTATGTCATTCCGGTTTTAGTATATGTGCTGCAGAAGCGAGCACCATAACTCTTTATTTTAAATGGCATTTGATTATGATCCTGTCTTGTTCAACTGGGCATAGCATTGCTCTGTTTTGCAGTGTAGTAATTAAGGAAGCTAGCTTATCTTATTTCTTGAAATTTAAATTGAAATTCTTTCTATTCCTAGTTAGATGGTGTTATTTAACTGAATCTCATGCTAATTTATTGTAAATAATGTAATATATCTTTGAGACTTTTAGATACTATGTATTTGTATATATTACAGCTGAGGAAAAAAATGTTCCAGTACCTTTATTTAATTTTGTCTCATGAGTACAAGGTATTTTGTTTTAGTGAATTATGGATATTTCTTTTCTAATTCTAATTATCTTCTTAGTCTTATTAGTTTACCATGCTGGTTTCCTAGTAACTATTTTTTTTCCTAGTAACTATTAAAATAAAAGCTTATAATCCTTTTCTATAAGATTGTCTACCACTCTTTCATTCCATCCCCACATGTTATATTTTGGTTATAGGAGACCTGGACCATTGGTGGTAGGATTCAAATAAGAAGTCAGTTACATACAGGAACAGATGAGTAAAATGTCTTTCCTTAACTGAGTAAATAAAGCTATAGTTTATTGGCTAAATGTCATTACAAACATTTTCAAATTAGTTTTTTGTCAGATCTAGAGGTATAACTAATACCTCCATTTCAGGGCTATAACTGTGAAAGCTTTGTGAACCTTTAGAGAAATTAAAAAATTTTTTTCAATTCTAAAATGAGAGCCTAATGAAGGACAATTTGCAAAGTAAGGCATGGACAATTTAGGAGATAGTCATCTATTCTTGGCAGTGCCCTTGTAAATGGCCTGAAATTTTAGTGCTCAAAGTGAAGGAGACACTTTAGACATTTATGTTGAATTAGCTAAGGACCTCTTTTTAAAAATTTAAATGAAAAAATAAAAAATAAAAATGTAAATGATCAAAAGAGTGACTTGTAGTGATACCAATCATTATTGGTCATTATGATGTTCTGAACTTATTCCAAATATAGCCATCTGTCCTCCCATACTGCCTGCGGTTCCTCATTTAGATTCTCTTGGACAAGGGATTATGAATGAAGAGATGAGGCAGGTGTGGTTGCCTTGGCTGGGCTGATTACTTCATTTCTGGATTCCTGAAATAGCTTTCTAATAGATTTCCTTGCATTCAGTCTTCTTCTTCAGTCAGTCTTCACTACTACTTCTTTGTACCAGATTCTAAAACATGGCTTTTGTTTTCTTTTCTTTTCTTTCTTTTTTTTTGGCTTTTGTTTTCATCTTTTTGCTTTTTTGCTTAGAAACTTCACAGACTCCCTACTCCCTACTAGTTTAAGTCCATGGTTCACAGTCTGATGTTCAAGATCCTTCATAATCTTGCCTAACTACCCATTTCACTCACCTGATTTAGAGTGTCAGCCATTGAACCAGGATAGCTAGGTTAGAACACTGCTGGAACCAGGAACAGAGTTTTAACTCAAAAGTGTCAAAACCATGACCTGGGATTCAACTATCTGTATTCACTTCCAGGACATAATATGAATAAAGACTCAAGTCTGTAGCTGGAAGACTTGAGAGAATGGGGTGGAAGGTGTGTGTTAGGCTGGGAAGTTCAGGATTTAATATTTGAACTAAGTATGGTAGGAATTATTGGCTATATATTTTATGTAGCCCCTAGTACTTATTGGTAGGAATAGGTATAGCTCTTGTTAGAGGAGACACACTGAGCAGGTCAGTACTCCCTATCCTCTCCATCAGCCACTGCATGTTCCCTTATGACCTGAGCCAGGTGGTGTGGAGGATATGGTCCTTGGGACTATAGCTCTACCCTTGAGCAGATACTTCAGCTGACCTTAGTGGTGCCAGGAGTCTAAGATTTTTTTCTATGAAAAATTCTTGTTCCCAGTGCCCAAATCCTTCCCTAGTAGAGGAATTTAAAGGGTAGCTCAAATGAAGGTCCAGGAATAAATAGCAAGGGCTGGGGTATGGTGAGCCAGAGAGATTAGAGCAAGTATCTAGAACACCATATGGCATAGGGTAGGTTGTTTGTTAATTGTTGAATAAAATGCAAAGTGTAATGAGGGTAGCAGGTATTATCTGCAGATAGATTTTAGGGGCAAGATTAGGGTGGAAGTGGTTGGCAATATAATGATTTCAGGTGTTTATATGTTGAGTTTGAGGTGCCCATCAAGCAGCTGGATGTATCTTGCTTTGGTGGATATATCCAGCTGGTTGGTGGGCATTTCCAAGATGAGTGTGCAGGGAGGGGTCTGGCTGGTGATAGGAAATTGGAAGTCATGAGCGCTTAGTGATAGTTGAAATCCAGGGAATGGATGATAACCTCCTAGGAGTGTGTGTAGCATAAGAGGAGAAGGAGGATGAGGAAAGAATTCTTGGGAACACCAACTCTGAAGGACCAGAGAGAAGCTGAGAGGAAAGAGGCCAGCCAAAGAGTTAGCAGAAGTGACTAAATAATGGTGGCATGGTAACTGAACCAAGAATTTCAGTAAGAATGGAAGGGTCAACATGACTGAATGCTGCAGAGAAACCAAGACAAAGCCAGAATTATGTCTAAGGGATATGGTCAAATGGAGGTCACTGGTGACCTGAGCAAAGGTGTTTTGGTACAATGATGAGATCAGTTCATGTGGTTCTGAGGTGAGAAAGTAGAGATAGTAACTCTGGATTATTCATTTAAGAGATTTTTCTGAGAAAGAAGGGAAAGAGAAGAGGAAGTAGCTAGAAGCCTGTGTGAGGTAAAGGAAGGATATTTTAAGGAAAGTCTTAAGAGGATATAAAAGGGAGAGGCAAAGGGATCAGGAAAGTGGGAGAAGTTGAAGGTAAAAGGTCCCGGATGTGGGAAGGATCAAGATTGAGAGCACAGGTGGGAGTGGCCTTTAGGCCTAAAAGAGAGGAAGGATATCCTTTCCTCTGACCAAAAGATAGAGCAAATTACAATTATAGAAAGTGCAGAGTAAAAAGAAATTGAGGGCATTCATATGTTCTATCAGCAACCTTTTACTCACCAGTTCAGATCCTCTAAGCTTTATTTGTCTCAGTGGCCTTTGGCCTATTGCTTGTGTCCAAGCCCCTTCTCTGAGTGGGCTCTGATGAACTTATCAGTGTAATCTGCCAGCTTTTCACCACATGCCCTGGCACTTTCCTGTGGGTGTGGAGACTCCATGCACAGTGGAGAGGAGTTAACTCCACCCAGGGATGCAAAGCTTTGGCTAATAAAAGATGAGAACTAGCTGTTAAATTCTCTTTCTGTTCTCCTTGTCAACTGATCAGAGATGCAAGTCATGTATTTATGCTCTTTCAAAAAAATGGCCCTGTGAGCTCAAGTGTGATACCAATGCACTTTCATATTGACTCTCTGATTCTTTCATTTTCCCTTTACGCTCCCCACTGCTCTCCTGGGATTGCACCCTCTAATAACAGATTAGGCTGAACCACATGTTTCTGTATGTCGAAACAGTTGAATGTCAGCACTTTCATATGGTTCAACCAAATAGCACATCAACCATTGCTCTGCTTTCTGGAGAACTTGGGCTAAGAAACACTTGATAGTCTTAGCGAAGTAGGTATAGTCACCTGCTGAATGTGAGCTTGTATTAATAGCTATCATTTATTGAGCACTTGCTGAGTATAGGGTGCTGTGGTGTTTTACATATATAATCTTACTTAACATATGAAGTAAGAATTATTTTCATACTTCTCATGAAAAAAACTGATGTGATAGGAGGTTAGATAACCTGCTCAAGGCCATACATCTAATAAGTGGAACCAGATTTCAGACCTAAAGCTGTTCGGTTTGTAAGCCGGCAATCTCTTTATAGCATTATGGCTATGTCTTGTCTAAGTTAAATGTGGTAGGGGAGTTACACCAAAACCACTGAAGAAGATAGACTAGAGGTAGGGAAGGCCCAGCTAAGATTTAAAATCATAAGTTGATGTGGCTCAGATTCATACAGTGGTACAGAGTTCTCCAACTATATTCAGCCATTTGGCTACAGAATCAGAGAAATCTGGTGACTGAATTGATTCAAGAGTGGGGTATGGTATTGACAGTCAAAGAAGAATAATAGAAAGAAGGGAGCACCTGGGAATTGAGGATGCAGCAAGAGAGAATAGTGATTGACCATAGCGTGTACAGACTGGGGAGGGGGAAAGTGAGCCAGGTGAAGGCCAACTAATTGGGAGAAGATGGAGGGGTTTTCAGGTCAAAGAGCAGATTTATTGAGGAGTGAAGAGGTGGAATGTCTGTAGAAGTTGTGGTCAGCATGGGATGTTGGTTTGAAGGTATCAAAGGTGTAATATTTCCCAGAGGAGTAGGTTGTTGAAATTGAATGGGGATGAGAGTCATTGGAATTGAGGAAGTCAAGGCACTATGAGGTCGTGGTGTTACATTGATCATTGATCACCCTTATAGATTTAGAAAACATCCAAGATGATGGTGGGACTATAGTGACCTATGAACCAGATGCCAGAATCCTTAATAAACATGACTGAAGCAGGAGATGGGTACATGACAGGAGCAAGGGAGAGGTAAGATGGAGTATATAGTTAATGTGATATTCAAGTAAGAAAGGATTTGTTTTGTTTTATTTTGCAGGAGCTGGAAAGATCAGTAGTTTGGAGCACAGCTCAGAAAAGCCAAATCTAGTCTTGCTGCCTGTTTTTGTAAATAAAGTTTTATTGGAACACAGCCGTGCCCATTTGTTTGCATATTGTCTATGGCTGCTTTCAGGCTACAACAGTAGAGTCAGGTAGTCGCAACACAGCCACTATGTCCCACAACACCTAAAATATTTACTATCTGGTACTTTAAAGTAAATGTTTGTTAACCCCTGGTTTAGAAACACAGTGTGTAGGGGTGGGTGGGTAGGAGTAATGAGAATGGTAACACAGCTTTCCTTAACTCTCACTCCAGCCCAGTATGCAAACTCTAGACGAAAGAATTGCCTTGAGATGACTCTATGGGACATGTTGTTGTAGAG